AGCCGACGAAAGTGAAATTAGGTGTTATTATAATCCACCAATTCAAAAGTCACTACTAGTGGTCTCCTATCCATATTCAACCGCGAAAGTAGATTAATTATCCTAGTTCAGACTCATAGGCTTAGGGTCAATAATCCCGACTCATCTAAGTCTATATTATTAGTGTGTCCATAAATTATAAGCAAAAATATAACTTTAATTATTCATAAAACATCAAACTAAACATATAATCCACACATGTTCAAAACAAGTTCATCAGGCAAAACCTAATCTAGAGAAATATAGCTACTCATAATAATACAATAAAATAAAAAGAGTTAAGAAGAAGATTGCATGTGAAATTCTTGAAGAGTTTGGCCTTCAACGGTTTCAAATGCTCTTAAAATTGCCTTCTTGGGACTCCTTGTCGTCACTTTATAGTAAAAAACACGGATCCTTGAATTTTGTACCAGAAAAGCCTATTTATAGCAAAAACAATGCGACAAAAAAGCCTAGAAGTTGGCCCATCGCGATCACGCTATAACCCATTGTGACTGCGATGCACCTTCATCGTGCCCACAATGTAAAGCATCACAGCCACGATAAAAGCAAAAGAAATCATTTCTTTTATGCCTTTTTTTGCTAAGTCCCCAAAATCTCTTCACTTGGTCATTTTTGGCTATTACTTGGCATTTTAGCTTCTCTTTGGCTCAATATTTTACTGAAATCACCTCAAATACTCATAGAAAACATGCAATGACAAAGTGTCATCAATTTTATTAAAAGACTATGTATAAAAATTGTCAAAATTATAATGGAAGAAGAACAAATTTTCAATGGGAAACCGTTAGACAATGGAATAGGAACAAGTGAGGAAAAAAGTGTTAAACCACTATAAATCTAGCGTATTATCTCCCATTCTCTCTCTTTTATATATTTTGTGTAGAATTGTTGTTTAAGATTAATATTTTCTTAGAAACAACATGATATTATACTTTACCACATTCTTAGCGATTTTGTGTATAAAAATTAGACATGAGTTATATTAAGATCCTAGACATTCTTACTTTTGATTAAATATGAAAATGTAATAATAAATTTCTTTTTCAATTAAAAAGTTTAAATTTACGTATCTTGTGTAAACTAGATTTAGGTCCATTAAAATGTTGACTGATTTAGTCTTTTCATCAATCACTCAATTTGTTTCTTATTAAGCGTGTATTATAATAAATCAAAAATCATATATTTTGTATGAAAATTCCGCTGCGCCAAATGATTTTTATTGAACTTTGATTTTCAAAAAGTAAATGTTTTTAATTGGTCATTTTAGGAAAGGTTTATTCAACCTCCTCTTTTAGACCATTTGAGTCCATATTATCCCCCAACAATTGACCTTATAATTGGTCTTTTGATCAGGGTATAACAACTCAAAAATTTGAGAATATGAGTAACGATGATCTAAAGGGAGTGTACATTAAATCCTTGAGTTTTAAAGGCGAAAACTATGCTTATTGGAAGGATAATATGTACGTTTATTTTATGTTAGTAGATAAAATTATTTTGGTAGATATCAATGAATAACCTTTTATCCATAAAAGTGATGTAGATGACAACATATCCACTACAAAATCCCCAAAGAATTAGATAAAATGGTGAAACTAAAAAGACATCTTATGATTTGAAGACTATAATCACACTCATTTATGCATTAAGCACGAAAGTTTATTACTCAATTTTATATCATAATAATGCATAATCAATGTGAAGTACTCTTCAAGTTCTCCATGAGCTTACTGAAGATATAAAGTAATCTAAAATTAACATGTTGACAGAGGAGTATGAATTATTTTGTATGGAATCCGATGAGACTGCAGAATCCCTACACATATTTTCTCTACTTAATCAACAAGCTATAAAATTTAGGCAAATATTTGTCTAACTAGGATTGTGCTAACAAATTTTGAGATCAATGTGCAGGGAACGGACAAACTAAGGTAACTACCATTAAGGAATCGACGATCTAAAAAATTTGGATGTTTCAACCTTCTTTGGAAAACTTACCGAGCAAGAGAATGCATTAAAAATTATTTTTGCAAGTGAAACCAATGCTAAAAAGAAAGAGAATGCAAAATAAGAGAAGTGAGATATCTCTTTGAAAGTCTAATCTTCCAAGGTAAGAAAAGTAGAGGAAGATGATGAAAGTTCTGACGAAGATTCTTCTAAAGAGGATTAAATGGGTTTATTCTTCAAGCGTGTGTGTGTGTGTGTATATATATATATATATATATATATATATATATATATATATATATATATATATATATATATATATATATATATATATATATATATATATATATATATATATATGCCATATCATACTAGAATGAGTAAGTTATATGAGAATGTGAGAATGAATAAACACATCAGATTTAAAAAGGAATGGTTAAGATTAAATTGTGATTTTCACTAAATCACGTGTCATTAATAGGAAATAGAAATCATTAATCAAATTTTAAAAATATATTTTAATCTCAACCATTAAATATAAATCCAATGATTGTTATTACATTCTCATATAACTTACTTGTTCTCATATTATACATCCTCTCTCTCTCTCTCTCTCTCTCTCTCTCTATATATATATATATATATATATATATATATATATATATATATATATATATATATATATATATATATATATATATATATATATATATATATATATATATATATATATATATATATATATATATATATTGTAGAGCTTATATCGCTTGGGAAGACGAAGATGAAGGTTCTTCTTCTTGTTCGAGCATAAATGACTAATAATCTTCAAATTTGTGATTAATGGCACACAACAAGGAAAAGGCTTAGAGGTATATGATTCTGATTCTGATTTTAAATCGTCTTATAATCAATTATCAAAATATTTTAGAGAAATGAAGATTGATGCCTTATGCACATTTAAGAAAATCTATATGTAAAGAAAAATCATTTGAAAAACTTGAGAGCGAGGTTTCAAATCTTAATATTGTCTTAGAATCCTTAAAGGAAGCACATGCATATCTCGTAAGCGAGCAATTATGTGTTTCAAATACTTTGGAAGAACATGTAGTTAAAGTGTAATGTGATATTTGTTCGTCTTAAAAATTTGAAAATAAAAATCTAAAAGGATAATTAACACATGTCATTTCACCGTCTAATGTTGTTTCTACATTTTCAAATGCTAGAGGGAGCAAATTTAAGAAAAACCCTCACTTTAATAGAAAATGTATGATTTCTGTCATATTTTCCAAGTGCAGCCATCAATTGATGACCATGATAGCACTTTAAGAAATAAGTATCAAGACCAATTAAAGGTTTGCATGTATTAGCAAATGCAACCTTATACTAGTCCAACATCAAACATATCACACTTGATCATCATGACACTATTGGGATTAGATCTCCTTAGTTACTCAACATAATTCCTCTAATATGAGTATTACCCAGACTCAACTCCTTGTATTAGTTTTATTGCACTTGTTTGGACCATGTATGCTTGAGTTTATGACAACATCACACCCTCTTTTTCAAGTTTATGATCAATCAATCCATTTGATTTCATTTAAGGAGTATGTATTAGGATTGGGATAAATTTTTTATAAGCTACTTAGTTTTAGCTTGTCTGTTTCTATCAGTCTTGTGACAAGCGTGATCAATGGTTAGGCTTACTAACTGCCATAATTGATTAACTATCATCTTACTAATTTTCATGTGGAATGGACATTCTTGGGAGTAACTGACAACCATTCTTTTGCTATCATTTTCTTGAAGTTCAAATCTCTCTCTCTCTCTCTCTCTCTCTCTCTCTCTCTCTCTCTCTCTCTCTCTCTCTCTCTCTCTCTCTCTCTCTCTCTCTCTCTCTCTATTGCATAAGACTTGCTACATCTCTAACAAGTGATTTAGTGGAAAATGTCATTCCAAGCTTTTATAGCTTATAGATAAATACACAAAAGAAAGTTAAAGGAAACTCCTAATCGTGAGCAGCCTTTCATTCTTGCAACTCTCAAATGAATTGAATTTGTTTCTTCACTTTCACTAAGGGACAAAGTCTATCTTTACACTACAATAGGGAGATAAAATTCACGTATTAAAGAGGAAAGCAAGCCAAGAGCTCTGACTTAAGGCTTTGGTGCAGTTATAGAAGTTTCACTTTATTTTGATGTTGATCTAGGCCCTCTATCCATAGGCATTGAACTAGGCAAGACCAACCCATATGTTAAGTCATTTGGTTGTAGGTCAAAAACTAGTGTAAAATATGTCTTTCTCGTCCTAAGCTCTAAAACTGCTCTCGCCTAACATGAAGTTGAAGTTACTGTTGAAGATATTTAAGATAATGGGACAAATGGATTGAATGCAACATATAGGTCAGTGACAACAACAAAGAAAACAACTAAAAAAGACGTCTACACCCTAATAAATAAGGAGAATTAAGCATCTATCGACATTTACTTGTTTACTTTTCCTATGTTAGTTTTCTTTTTAAGGATCCTTCCTAGCTCTCTTATTCATTAAGAAAAAGCCTTACCTCATCACCATATATTTATGCATGTTAAGATTCCTAAACTTATGTTGTTCCTTTTCATTTTCTCTTCCTAATGTTATGTTTAGATATTATGCTATGAATAAAACGAGTGGCATGAAGCGAAATGAAGATACAATTTTATTGTTTGAAAATTTTAAAACAAAATAAATAAGATAAGTTATTCATTCGACTCAAATTAGAGAAGAATAAATATAATGATAAGTGATGAAATATAACAAAATCTATATCATTAAATTCTACTTTGTTCCATTTGATTTTAAAACGTTTCATTCCATCACATTGGACTAAGCTGCTTCCGATTTCATGTATCAAAATAAAGCCTAACAAATCCGGGTCTTAGAAAATACTAGTGAAAACATCATAACTCTTGTTACCGGAGTGAAATCGGAAAACCATAGAAGCATCGAACAGATAGCACAAGACGAAAATGAAGTTATCTCCCATCACAGTGTTTATGTTCAAAGATTCAGAGGGTTTCGCCTCTGCTATCTCACAATCTCTTCACCCTAACCCTTCTTCCTCCTTCACCCGCCTGTAAGTAATGTTTCTTCTTTTTCTCATTCTATTTTTTCTCCAGTACATCAATATCAATCGGTTGTTATTATTATTTATTCTTTTTTGGTTTCAGAGAGGAATCGTTTGAACTCTCTTTGGAGGGTTATGGAATCAAGGACAATAAAGCGTCAGGGAATGTTCTTCACTATGTTGATAATCACGGCATTTACAAGGTCCTCCTTTTCTTATAGGATCTCATTCAGTTTTGGGTATTAGGGTTTGAAATATAGTTGGCTGGCTCTTATTTGATTGATTGTCAAATAATTGTTTGGTGCCTGGATTATAATGATTTGATACTAATGTCAGATAAGATAATGACTCAAAACACCAATACATGCCTCCCTTTCTATATTCCTCATTCTCCCCTCTCATTCCAGAACCAATATAACAAAGTTTACAAGGTTAAGTAAAAAGAGTCACAATAGGCAGTTCAAGAGTGCCTATAACTCTCCCAACTCCCAAGTCTTACTCTTTTCCAGCCACCTTTGCAATCCTTCTTTCACTCTGCTTAACTGTGCTACCCACAACCTGTAACTCCCTCTCTTTGTATAATGTTCCACACCCTCTTTTGGTAAAGATGTTGAAACTGCAATTCAAACGGTGTAGCCTCCTATGCAATCGAGAAAGCTTCTGACTTTTCGGGTGGTTGCAGTGGGTGTTTTGGAAGCCATGTGTCGTCCGATCCACTCAAGAACTGCTCCTCCGGGCTGAAGCCATTTCTTCCCCTTTTTGATATTGTCTCTGTTTCGATGCCTATACTCACACAATGGTTGTCACTATACTCTGACGAAATACCCTTGTATGCAGTGCTATTTAATGTTCCTTCATTGGATGGTCTTGTTTCCTTTTATAACAATTTTAACTCATATGATGTTAAAAGAAATTAATGGTTAAACTTAAGCCTCAAATGGTTTCCTTGAAAATTTGTTATCCTTGTGTCTTAATTTTCATTCTAGATATACATTTGATTGTGTAAATCCTCTTCATATCCAGGTGTCAGTTGTGATTATGCAGCATTATGAGCCGCCAGTACTAGCATGCGCTCTTAATGAGGTCCTTAATGAAATTTTCAGAGGCGATTCATCTAAGAAGCCAACACTTTTGGTACCCTTTTTGGTGGAGTCATCCAAAGTTAAAGGGAACAATAAATCCATAAGATCAGATGAAAGCAGACCCCTAACTTATGGCATACAGATTGGTCAAATTACAGACATAATGCAGACCTTACTAAAGAAAACCCAGGAACCACCATCTTCATTGCGGATTCAGCATGAAATTTTTGCATGTTTTCTTCACTTTGTTCGTGTAATGAACTTACCTACCTTTTTTCTAATTGGACAAACTAGTCAATATTTGGACAATAAATCTACAAAACAGCATGAGGTAATCATTTTCCTTACCACTTTTAAAGCACATGATATAATTACATTTCCTTAAAAATGCCCATAATTACATTTCCATTTTCTTCTGCAATAAATGTGCATCAACTCCTCCATAGCTAATTTTTTGTGATTTCTGCTAGGCAATTTGTGAAATAGGTGAGATTTTGGCTAGCAGTACAGGTCTGCAGTTTTCAGAAGACAAAGTGATATGGAATCCAAAAAAGACATCAAAAGAGATCAAGGAGCCATGGCGTGATTTATATGGTTGAATCACAGGTGTCCCTTACATGCAAACAAGGAACTAGTCTCTTCACGGGTCTGATTCTCACAACCACGGTCTTTTGTAACTGTTTTCCTTTTAACAAGTTCATAAGAATTGTCTCTTGTACTGCTTGCAGGGAACTGAATGATTTGGCATGGCATGTAACTGCAAGTTCTTTTTGTTCTTGTGGATTTTATTTGTATTTACTTTTCAGAGGCTCGGCTAAATAGGTTTCGACCAATTAAGACATTCATCGCATACTGAGCTGCTTTGATGCATTTACAACAGAGCCATAGTTTTTTTAAATTTTGTTTCTGTAATACAGTAATAGTTGCCCTTCAGTACTAATGAGAGTTTGAACTTTTTATTATCCACAATTTTGGTAATGTGAAGAAAAGACACATTCTATTACAATTATGAATCATTTCTGGGCAAAAGCTTGAATATATTTAAAGATGTTGACCCTCTTTTTTTCCATCTTAGGATTCATTAATAGGAATTCTCATTCAAATATCAATCACATTCTAAAGGAAAGCAGAGCCTTAGAAATCAAACATGTTATTTCCTTTTCAAGTCTTATTCCCTTATTACATGTTAGTCTCTATTTCGAACATGATCTTTGGTTAATCAGGCCCACTGCACAGGGCCTCCAATATGTAGGGGCCTCAAATTAATGTATGAGCTTAAGAAAAATATTAGATTATTGAGTTAGAGGATTTTTTAACCCACCCCATATTTTTCTAGCACACCATGGGAAAATATAAAAGTGTCTCTGGAAATCGGATATGCATTTCCAGTACGCACCAAAACCTGGATTTTGGTGGACAAGATCCTATGAATCAGTTGAAAACTAATCGGAAATACAATTACGTGTGGAACCGTAATTATACTTTCGGAAGCACCCAAAATGCACACACTTTTTAAGACTGAGAAATTCAAGCTAACACACAGATACGAACCAGAAATACATTTACGGTTGGAATCGTAGTTGTATTTTCGGTTCGTGTTGACACTTAAATGCGCGTTGTTTCTTCCCCTTCCTCATTTTCATAAACCATTTGAAAACAAAAACACTCAACACCCCAAAACCAAACCCTCTCAAACCCCATTGTGTCAAAATCATTCCATTTTACGAAAAGTTTATCGGGAATCATCAAGCATAAAAAAAGTTCAGTGTTCAAGCAGATTCAAGCAAAAAAATTATCACTTGTAACTTGTTTTTGAGCTTTTTAGAGTTTATGTAATTTTACCCACAAATTATGTTTTAGGGTCGAAAATCAATTTTTTTAGTGTTTGCAATGTTAGGAGTCATAAGAAACATGTTAGGTATGTTTTTTTTTACGATCAATGACCGTTCTTTTGAGGTCAATGGGGCTGAACTTTGCAATTGACGAAGCTGTAAAGTTGCAAGTCGTACCAGATATGCATTTTCGGTTGTGTTCAACATTTACATCAAAAATCGGAACTGCATATCCGATTTTAATCAGTCTGCATTTTTCTATTTTTTGAACCTGAGTCTTATTATTGATGTTTGTTTCGTTCTTCTACAAGAGTAATGAATGAGAGGCCATCTAGACTGAGACACGACAAGTTTGCACAACATGCTTATGTGCGGAGGAAAATGAGTCAGGCATCACAGGCTCCTTCTGCCTCTGAACAGGCTATGTCAGATGCGCCTACAATCTTTGGTGTTTCTGTTTCTACACCTACTTCATCGTCCTCCCGCAACAGGCGAGGTTCTCCAGTTCATCCCTCTCCGCCTCCGTCCTCCCCACACTTCCTCATTGATAGTATTTGAGATAGGAGAGACATCTGATTTTCAGCCGACACTAGAGGCATCTGAGGCCCATGCACAAGAGACACCTAAGGCACCTGCAGTTGAGGCGACACCTAAAGTTGAGGTGACACCTACAGCTGAGGCGACACCTACGACACCTTGGAGTTTTGGAGAAGGGTCTGCTGATTTATCATTGTTGCCTCTGTATCCGGACCATGTTACTAGACATATCTGGGACAGAGAGTCTGATACGGTGGCAGAACCGACTATTATATACTGGTTTTGCATTTGTATTCGCAAATGTTGCGGTAAGCAAGAGTCGCCACCGACTTTTCTTTTATCCAACAAAGGAAAGGGTGAAAAGAACAGAAAAATACATTTTTCGAGATTTTTTTAGTAAGGGGGGTAGATTATAGAAAAGGAAGGTGTTAGCACCCTTTCCATATGTGGTTTTCCACGGGCTCTTGGGTACTTGCTCATTTTTGAAAATTGTTTGTGTCTGTGTGTTTTGAAATATTTTTGTTTGCTTTATGGTAACTTTTGTATCAGTCCTCAAGAGTGTGATAAAGTGTTTTTTTTAAAGTAGTTTTTGAAAGTGTGTAAGTGTGAAAAGTTGTTCTTGAGCAAGTACCTAACAATTATCTACCTACTCGAAAAAAGATGTTCTTTTCCTCCTTTCCTTTAGACAGTGTTATCCTACTATTATTGAGTAGGTAGCCCTATCGTTGGATGTTGAGGGACTATCGAAAGGGACGTTATGATCATCGAAAGCAACATGTATGGATATCTTAGCATTCGAAGAGATTGTCATCATATAGGCAACATCGAGGGACAATATCATTTACCGAAAGGCAACATCGAGGGACGTTTAGGGACCATGATATTTTATGATGACTTTTATACCGAGGGTCTTTGCTAAGATATCCCTACGTTCGAGGGACGTGACCATTTCCGAGGCAACCGAGTGAGGAATACCCTAAGGATGTAAGTGTGAGAAGTGTGTTTTTTCAGTTATTTATCTTTTGCGTTAAGGTTTGCTAACGTTTATTTTTAATCTTTCCATGCAATTCTAGTTACTAACAGTAATATTGTACAGGAAATGTAAGGTACGGAAAATAAAAGCAGAAACATAAACCCTAAACTATTACAACGCTTTGGGACAATTACTTAAAAAAGAGATGCAAGAAAATAAGAGTGCGGAATTTTAAGTCTAAAACTATTACATCTATGATCAGTTACAATATTAAGAGAATGCGAAAACGATAAACGCGCGTGAGATAAAGATGAACGTCTAAAAACCTAAGAAAATTCTAAGTAAACAAAAGAAAATCTTTTTTTGGTTTTTGTTTTTTTGTTTTTGTTAGGAAAACTACTAAATAAAAATGAGGAAGATTAATGTGATACGGTGGGAGAACTGACTTGAGGGTTTTGCGTTTGATCGCAAATGTTGTGGTTAGCAAGAGTCGCCACCGACTTTTCTTTTATCCAAAAGGAAAGGTGAAAAAGCACAGGAAAGACCTTTGAGATTATTTCTTGAGTTCGAGGGGGTAGATTATGAAAAGGGAAGGTATTAGCACCCTTTTCATCCATGGTTTTCCACGGGATCTTAGTTACTTGCTAGATCACTTGCTTTTGTTTGAAATTGTGCTTTGTGTGGTTTTTGGAAGTATTTTATAAAGAGGCCATTGTTTAGGCAATCTTTGTAATGATTTTTGTTCGTAAGAATGTATACAAAGATGTTTGATCTTTTAAAAATGTTTTCAAGTTCATAAGAGGTTTTGAAAGTGTAAGTGTTTGTTTTGAAAATAGCAAGGATGTTTGTTTTGAAATGGAGCAAGTAATTAGGAGCATTCTACCTACTCAAATGTCTTTCTTGTTTATTTTCTTTTCCTTTGATATTATTATCTTAGCATTGATTTGGTATGTAACCCTATCTTTGGATGTAAACGGGACGGGCGTGAGTCATCGTATAACCATGATTAGCAATATTGCAAGGTATCTTAGCATTCTCTTTTAGGGACTAAGATCATTTGAAAGGAAACTTAGATAGTGTCATCGAGGGATTATGATCTTATATTTTGCTTGTTTTTGCTAAGATACCTCGCATGCGTAATATGACCATTTTGTAAAGCAAACAAGTGGATTTACCCTAGGGGGTGCTTGTGTGCAAGTGTATTGTTTTCATGCTTGATTTTGTCTTGAATTAGGGTTTTCTAAGTATTGGTTTTAGTTTTTCCATACAAACCCTAATTATTAGCAATTTTATATAAAGCGATAAATTGCTGAACTTAAAATTACTATGCTATTACAATACTTGTGGGAAGGGGGGTGTACAAATTATAAATGGGGATTGCGAGTAAAATTAAATCCTAAGTTACTATTACAACCTTATTGAATGGATAAGAATGTACAAGAAATGTAAAAATGGACTTGTTTCGTTTAAGAAAAGAAATAAGTTTTGTTTAAGAAAAGAAATAAGTTTTGTTTAAGAAAATATTTTTGATCTTTTTATGTTAAAAATAAATAAAATAAGACATGTGAGTATGAAACATTTTTTGGTGTTTTTGATTAATAAAAGTGATGGCAAAAATAATAAGGAGAAAGAAAACAGAATTAGCGCTTTGTTGACATAAAAGAAATCAGAAGTTCTGACTCTGGCATGCTGCAAGACAGAATTAACATGTTAGAAAAAATAGGGAAGGTCAGAGGTTCTGGGTCCGCTGGAAATAAAGAAGATTTCAGAAGTTCTGATACCGATGACAGAACATCGTCTCCCTCTCCATGCTAGTCAGAGCATCTACAACTTAGTCATTTTTCAACAAAATAGAAGATGCGCATATAGCAGTTATGGCAAGTTTCGTAATATTTCAGAAACAAGAGATATCAGAACTATAAATCAGAAGCAAGCATGAATTTGCTAATCCTAATTGAGTCCTAATTTCTTAAAGAAGTTCTAAACTGAAATTATCTCTACTTAGGCAGGCAAATACATGAAACATCAAAATATGTACAGCATCAAAATCAGGATGTCTACATTGTATTTTGAACACGCAAGTCTAACAATGCCTAAGTAATATGATGAGCATCAGCAGAAGCTTACCTTGCAGCTGGAAAATGTTCTATGAGCTGGAGTCTGGCTCTGACCGCTTGTGATGCTCTGACCAGCTTCCTCATGTGCCCAGCAGGCTAGAAACCTTTGACTTGAACTATGAATGGCTGGAAAATTCTGG